GGGAAGAGCTGTTTTCATTCCCGCCTGTCAAATTAGAAAGAACGTGTTTTCTAAGCCTCTGTGACTTTCCTTAGTTTTCTTCTGCCTTGCCCTCTCCAGTGAGTGAACTCGTATCTATACTTCAAAAGCCTAGCCTTCATACTCCCTCTTACGACCCTTATAAACAGAACCAAGGGCATTCTCCGCTATTCCCTTGGCACTTTCTTCATCTCTTTCACAGACAGCCCCTCACACCGCATTTATAGTTTACACATCTGTGGGCCAGTTCCATGGGTAGTGACCGAGGCTTTGCTGAATTTGAGAAAATGAGCAAGGCCTGGGATGAAGGAGTGCTGATCCCCGGCTCCCGGGCCCCCTGCAGCTGTGGCTACACACACATTCATGGAAGGAAGGGGGAGGAGGACTGGGTTATTTCTTCCCTAGCACTTGTAACAGCCGCCGTATTTGGGAGAAATAACCAATTCTCATTAAGGGTATTGTCAGACCCTAATTAATTTCCCTGATCTAGCGATATTGGTCCTGTCTCTGCACAAGGCTATAGTGTTGCTGCTCATGAAATGCCAAGCCAGTGAGGCGCTGAAGCTCTCCGCTCTTAATTTAGAGGAACCATTAACAACATTCTCCATCACCACAATTACTGGGGCCAACTTCCCTCCCTGGGGTGAAACTTAGAGAAGAACTTGTGTAGCTAACTGCAGATTAGAGACTGCGAACATTTTTCAATAGGAAGGAGGAAAGGAAAAGATCCTTGCATCTTGGTCATCTGGAACTGATGGAGCAGAGATTTATGGGTCTTTCCATTCTCCCCTTTCATTGCTTAAAAAAAATTTTTTTTTCTGGGGTCAAGAAGGACTTCTTATAAGCTGAGCTTTGGCAGAGTTATGCAAAACAGAGCTAGAAAGCTGTCAAAGGTTGTGATGTGGCTGAGGAAAGGAGACAACTGGGGGTCTTTTAAAAAATTTTTTTTTTTTTGCGTCAGAGTCTCACTCTCGCCCAGGCTGGAGGGCAGTGGCATGATCACAGCTCACCGCAGCCTCGAACTCCTGGGCTCAAGTGATCCTCCCACCTCAGTCTCCTGAGTAGCCGGGGTTATAGGTATATGCTACCAAGCCTGGCTAATTTTTTAATTTTTGGTAGAGACAGGGCCTTGCTATGTTGCCCTGATTTGGGGGTTGGTTTTGGCTGACCCCTCTTTGTCAGGTGACCACAAATGAGTACATGAGAGTCTGCTGGCCCCTGGCTGAGGGTTGGGGGACTAACAGCTGGTCTGTGGAGCTCCCAGTATGCCGGGCTCGGTGACAAGCATGCAAGCCTGCCACTGGGGCTATTCTCCTTCTACAGATGAGGAATCTGAGGCACAGAGAGGGTAAGTAACTGCCCAAAGATACTCAGCTAGAGGCGGCCAAGCTGAAACTCAAGGCTCAGCAGCCTGGCCCCAGGGCCTATGCCACCCAGGGGATGCCAGGGGTCCCTCCTGCCCAGGAGCCTCTCCTCGGAGGCTGCTGACCCTGCACCTGGAAGAGGAAGGATGGCACCTCTCAATCTTGGAGACTTCCTCGGTCCTAGCTGGCTTTGGCTGTAATCAAATTAACAGCATAAACAAGATTTATTAGGCCCTTAATTACCTTTGCAACACTGATTTGCATTCAGACAATGTGCTAATCACAAACGGCTTTTTAAACCAATTACTAAAAATCTGGGAGAGGTTAGCAGAAATACTTCACTGGCATTAAGTCTAGGTCACCACAGGGACTTGGAAGGTATCCTGCTGCCCAGCCAAGCCCCGGGGCATCACAAGGCCTCTATGGCCTCTCTTGGGGTAGCATCTGCGCGCCTGTGAGTCAGGGACAGCACCACCACAGCCTGTGGGGAGGGCCAACAAGGTACGACACCAGACTTCCACCAAGTGTGGATGATCAACATACTTCATCGCCACTGTTACCCTCAGAGGCATCTGTGAGGACCACGGCAGCCTAACCCTTTGCTGACATCCTGCTCACGGCATGGATGTCATTGGCAGGGAACCACGAAGCTTTGAGAGGTCAAGAGTCCTGTTTGGAGGCACAGCCTTTGGGCAGAATAATTCAGGCCCCGGCTCGCAAACTTGTTCTGTGGCTCCAACCTCCTGTGACTGTGATGGCTGAGCTGTAGAACTACTATGGTCACCAGGGACCCTCTAAGCGTCCGCTGTCTCTGGGGTGGGAGGGCATGGCAGGGCTTCTGGGTTCCCTATTCCCTCATCCTCTCCCGTCTGCATGTCCTCAGAGCCTTCAGACAAGGACCCGGAGCTTTCAAACAGTCAGACATGTCTGAGCACTGAATTTCAAGTATCCCAGCGTACCTAAGCCCACCAGACGTTTCCGTCACAAAAAGACAAAAGGAGTTTCTTTTCTCCAAGTCATTTAATAACATCGTTGAGGATGATGGACTGAAGCAATTGGCTAATTGTGAATGTTCTCGACTTCCTTTTTTGTTTTCTTCCTCCTTGTTTGGGAAATTACATTAGGGACTTACAAAGTAACAGACCCCGTGGGAGTTTCCCTGGAAATGAGGATTTCTCACTTGGGAAATAAATTCACAGAGGTTACAAGGAGAGACCAGCCAATCACAACGTGTCCTCGGATCAGCCCTAGGCTTGGAGAGGGACATGCTTTGGCCCTTGATCAACTGATGACACTACTATTTTTGCTCCCAACTGCCCACTATAAAATGGGAAATAGAGTGAGCTGTGAGTCAGGACAATAGATGACCCTCTTCCAAAGAGCCTCCAAGTGCGATTAACAACCAGATGCCACCTCACCTCACTGACCTTGAATGACCAGCTGAACAGCAGACTATTATGCCCCCCCTCTGCCCTGACTGGTTGTGTGTTCTTGGGCAGGTCACTTTCCCACTCTGGGCCAGTTTTCCTTTCAGTTCTGCCGTTGGAAGTGTGGGGAACTGCCCAGAAAGCCTGCCATCTCCCTGTGCTCCAGAAGGGGGCAGTGGGCATGGAACCGACTGGAGAGCGGTCAGTACTCAGCACACCTTCCAGTGTACACGGCTCTCCTTTCTGACATACCCAAGGCCCGAAGGGTCCATGCAAGCCTGGGTCCATGAGAGCCTGGTCTCCACACCCTCAGACGATCTGTTCTATATCCTCTTGTCATCCTGCTGGACCTTACGAGAAGTGGAAGCCATGGTGGTGGCAGCAGAGGGAGCAGGGCACTGGGTGCTGGCCATGGCTCTTTGGTCCACAGCATTCCTTGGGAAAGCTGGTTTGAATTCATAGACTGTGCTTGTCCACATTCCAATTTCTGCCCCAACTGAGCCTTACTTCCCTAACTAGCTCAAGTGAGCTCTTCAAGCAGACGCTCTTCATCTCTGCCCAAACCCAGGACTGAACAATCCTGTGCCTTAGCTCGACTCAGCGGAGACCTGCCAAAGGCCTGGCCATAGTCCAGATCTGGGGCCTGAATGACCACAGTCGATAGGTCTGAGGCGGGACTCCAGGGGGAGTCGCAGGCTCTGGCCCGCCATCACCAACCACTTTACTGAAATAACTTGAAGGCGAGAAGGCTGGGAAGTTCGTGATACGTGAGAAGGTGACAGGCAGGATGATTCTGGAGGGATGGATGGTTAGGCCAGAACTGGCGAGCCACAGCTTCCTGAGGGCACCTGCATAGTCTGCCACAAAGGTCAGTGCAGCTGTAGCCCATGCTCAGTGGTGGGGTTCAGACCAAGACCACCTGCAGCTTCTAGCCAAACCAGGAGCAAAGACTGGAAGGAAGGAGCAGGCAGGTTTTTTCTTTCAAGAGCCAGTGGTTCCTAGCCCAGATGATCCCTGTCAAATGTGTGAGGCTTTTGCCATTGCAGTGCTTGAGGGGAAGGAGGTGGTCATCAGAAGACTCGAGCCATCACAAAGCCCCACAAAGCCCCACAAAGCCCTGCCCCCTGAAAATTTATCCTATGACAGCCCCATTGAGAAACACTGCTACAGAAGGGAGGCTTGGTGCTGTCACAGCCAGACTGAGAGTCTGGTGAGGCAGTGCTCTGGGTGGTGGCGGACTTGCTACAGTACAAAGTGCTTCTGACCAAGGCAGGCAACCACATGTCAGGGCAATCCTGCCCAGGCAGGGCACTAGACACGATGAGCACTAAGGCCCTTCCTGGCTCCAAGAGTCAACAAGCCTCTAATTCAATTTATAAAGCGTGGCTGACATCCGAGTTCCCAGCAGCGCCTCGATGGTGCGACACAGGTCTGCCTGCAGCGTGCTCTGGGCCGCGGGTCCCTGGGTCAGGCTGGATAATGAGAGCCGAGCTCTGACTGCAAATGCCTCTCCTGGTCATTAGCGGGAACATGCGCAAGGAGGGGAGACAGCATGACAGACCCTGTTGTTGCAGGGTCAGCCGCAGAGCACTCGGAGAGAGCATCCCCGGTGCAGCAAGAGACTTGCAAGATAATTAACTGGGGGAATTGCCAGTCTTGGCCACGTGCTCCTCCTGAGGCTGATGCAGGGTGGACTGGATAATTCCTTGGTGGCTCATGGCCTCCAGTAGGCTCATTTCCGCCCGTGACCCTGGACTTCTGGTGGACCTCGTGTGGTTCCAGTGTGGACAGCCTGGGTTAGCTTTGTCCCCATCTCAGGTTGGGACCACCAGCCCCATGGCCTTCCTGAACCCTGTCAGCCCCTGGCTTCTCTGAGTTTGCCTAAGACTCTGCTTGGGAAATAGGGAAGGCCATGAGTTCAGAATCTCTAACTTTCCACCAGAAGCCTAAAACCTAAAAAAAAAAAAAAACCCAGCCCCCACCCAAGTGACAAAGCAGTCAGGCTGGGTAAACCCTGCACTCACCCACAAGGATTTTAAAAACAACTGCATCTTAGAAAATGCAATATCCTCACAGCTGTGCAGAGGCCCCCACCTTGGGGGCCTGTCCAAGGAGACCTGGGATCCGAGGGATGGCTGCTCAGTGACCACCGATCAGCTGCTGCCCACCCCAGTGGCACACACCCACTCACCTGTGCGACAGAGTGGGTTTCATGGAGCTCATGGAGCTGAGGGGGGGCTGCATGGGGAGTTTCCCGGGGGGGTCGCTCTGGCGGCTCTTCTGATGTCGGAGCAGCAGCAGGCGGCCGAGCTCTTCGCACCAGGAGGACAGCAGGGCTGCAAGGAAGGACCGGACAGTCAGTGGGCACCGTGGCCACCATGCCCTGCCACTGGGCCCCCACCTCACCCTCCCTGGGCTGGGTGCTACTGATGCTGGCTTTGCACCCAGATCCGTGTGCCACCAGGAGACTCACAAAGACCTCTCAGGAGGCCTTGGTGTTCTCAGCTATCAAATGGGACAGCACCTCCAAAGGAGGAGTCAAAAGCTTCTGTCGCTAAGAGTAGAACAGAAGAGGGATGGTTTTAACAGCCATCACGCTGAGAAGTACCAGCTGGAGACAGAGAGGAGAGAGTCAAGATGGCAGAAGGGAGGCAAAGACGGTGTCCAAGGGGAAACTGGAGGGGCAGGGGGCTGGTATGGGTCAGGGCAAGGTTAGGAGCTGCCAACTACCTCAGGTCACTCAGGGAAGCCTACCCCTTTGTGCTTTGAACAGAAGCCCAGCACAGCTTCTCCCCACAGGTGGGCTCAAAATTCGGGGGTTATACAAAATCCACAGCCTGCTGACAAGCCCGGAATGTCCCCAGGGCTCTCCCTGAAACTCCCACCCAGAAGCCACCCCGCTGAGCACACATGTATAGCACATGCCTTCCATCACACCCATGGCTGGTCACTGCACTCTGGGCATAATGCTTGGAGGGACAAAGGATGTCCAGGCAGAGGTGGCCCAAGGTGGTGGGGCCAAGTGGGAGACCACAAGGGTATCCAATGCAGGAGCATGGAGGAGTTGTCCATGTCCCGGCTTAGAGAGCCCAGTAAACCACGTGCTGGGGAAAAGTGCCATTTTCTTTCACTGGCCACTGTCCCCAGGTGGCCAACAGCACCTTCAAGGTCAGTGTCTTGCCTGGCCAGTCCTTCCAAAGTGCATGGGCAGAGCCAAGGTCAGGCAGTGGGTAAGGGGAGTCAGGAAGGCTGAGCTCAGTCACCATCTTGGTGTATGATTAGCAGCTCACAGACCCTCTCTGGGTCTCAGGTAGAAAGGGGTGGTGACTTGCTCTGCCTTCCTTTCAGGCTGTGGGGAGTAGCCAGTGGGGAACTTCTGGGTCTGTGCAGAAACACAAAGAGTGGCCACCCTTCAGCTGATGCCCCACTCCTGCTGTGAGCACCTCAGCCTGCCCTGAGAATAGTCACCTGGTCAGAGTGAACCACAGCTGTTCAGCTACTCGGCTGGATGCGAAGCCCACTCCTTCATTCAAGGGTTTCCCATCTGCCCTGCACAAGCCAGGACACTCACTGCTGTTATCCCTATTCAGGCAGGCAAAGCCATTCGTTCACTGTGGCCACAGGCAGAGTTGGCAGACACAGAGACAGGGCTCCTGGCCCAGCCTCGTGTCCCCGTGGTGGAGTCTGAGGCTGGACAGAAGGTTTGGGAGGAGACAGAACCCTTCGGAAGGCCTCCCAGTCCCTCTGACTCAATAAGGAACCCCTCAGGCCTCTTTGGAGTCACCCATCACCACGTTCAGCCAGCACCGGGGAGAGAAATGCATGTGCACAACGACCAGGAGAGCCACTTTAAACTGCCCTGATCCTGGACGGGGTTCCCTGCCAGCCCAAAGCCCTGAGAGGTTGCACCAGGGCTTCTGGCTACACTTGCTTGGCTTGTGTGGAGCACAGAGATGTCCAACCAAGGGGGCAAGGGTGGCTGCCTTTTCAAAAGGGGGCACCTGCTTCTCTCTCCAGGAGGAGGGGCGGGTAGATGGGCTGAGTTTTCCAGGATACATCCTGCCCCTCTCTGTGGGGTCACCTTGCCACCACCCTCAAAGGGAGGAGGGTGCGGAGAGGAGGGGCCCTCCCTGGCATGTGTCTGCACAGAAGCTGGCGAACACCCGGCAGTGGGCGTCCAGCACACATCTGCTGTGGCTGGAGGGAGACAGCCTATTCAGGGAGGCTGGAACAAACAGAAACAGCTTCCAGAGCACTCCATTCTTCTCCTAGGCCCCTAGTTACCTCTCCTTGTGCGGGGGCACTGGGCATCTGGAAACTCATTTGCACACTAAGCACGAGGCCTGCCGGATCGCGGCGACGGAGGGATGGCTCGGCTGCCAGCACAAAGAACGGCTGCAGATGGTGCTGCCTGCTGCCTGCCCTGCCCCGCCCAGCCCCTTGCTCCTCCTGGGGGCTGGCCATGCCATGATGGGGGGACGGGGTGCCATGGGGAATTCAGGGCTTCCCTCCAGTGTCACGGGCCACCCCTTGCTTGGCCAAGGACAGCCCTCATCCTCCTACCCCTTATGGAGGGGTTTCCGTAAAGGGAATAAAGGCAGGTTGGCGGTGTAGCGGGGCCTAGCTGTGCCGTCTGGCACACCGCAAGCAGGCAGCCACAGAGGTGCTTCCTTCAACCGTGAGGGAAGGGAGGGGGCGGGAGGCACCAGCCTTCAACCCGGAGCTCACGCTGGCAGCCCCTTAGCTCAGTCCTACAGGAGACACAGCGCATGTCCCCCCTTATGGTGCAAACAAGTTGTTCCGAGGCACTGGTGGGTGAATGACAACACTGGGATTGGCAGTCAAAGGGCGCTGTCAGAGAACCAGGAGGGCTGACAGGGACAGAGGCAGGCGGGGGATTACGCAAGGACAGACAGTGACACCAGCTGGGTGTGCGTCTGGGTGTGCCTGGATCTCTGCCGACACGTACTCAGTACTCATTGGAGCTGGGTAGCCTGCTGCTCTGAGGGGTGGGGTGGGCCCACACCCCTCTCTGACCTGCATGCCTTTGCTCTGTGCACTCACTGGGGATGGCTTGAGAACAGCCCCAGGGTGGGGCGGAAGAACCTGGTGGCCATGGGAGGGCAGTTTCAGTCCTAACGCAAGCTTTCCTCTGTAATAGGCAGCATCCGAAATGCCCTTCCTACTGCCTGGGCAGCCAAGTGGCCAGTACTCGCCTTGTCCGCTGAGCCCCAGTCACCAGAGGTAAAAGTTTAAAAAAGTAGCCCTCATGGCACACAGAAAGCCCCAATTTTCAACTAAAAATAGAAGCTAAGATCCTCGTGTCCCTTTCCCCCTTTACAAAGTACAGCCTGCTTGGCTCCAGGACAGCTTTGGGCAGGACATGACTGCCTCTCTCCTGCCGACTGAGGATGCTCAGCCTCTGGCTGGTGCTCCTGTGGCCAGAGCCCCATGGACACATCACCTGCACAGCGGTCAGTGAACACCATTCAGACCCACGCTGCCTCCATGGGGTTGGATGGTTGGAAGTGAGATATCCCCAAAGTCTGCCAAGGGGTGTGGAGAAGCACTTCAGCTCCACCATTTGAGCTTGTCGACCCTCTCCCAATCTAGGGTGCCAATGTGGAGAAGTAGAATCTTAGGCACTGGCGCTGTTGGGAGCAAAAGTTCAGCTGCAGGAAGGGGGTCAGGGGTCAGGTGGGGCCTGCAGGGCTAGCCACAGGAGGCCAGATGGGACTACCCCCTCTTGGGGTTGAAAGAATGGCTATGGTAGTAGCCACTTTCCCCTCTACTCCAGCAAGACCTCTGACAGGCCCCAGCCCTCCTCGGGGAAGGAGAAACAGGCACACATGCAGTGCCCGGGGCATGGGGTAGCCACCAAAAAAATGCCCTCTCTCCTGTCCCCCAGGAAACTGGGATCTCAGGCTGGCAGAGAGCTGAGCTCCTCACCAAGCCTCAAGCCCCGTCATCTTCACCAGCCTGTCAGGGGCCACGCCCAGGACCTCATGATGCCCACAGCCGGGGCTGGGATAGCAGTGGAAAATGGCGTAAGACCCCAACAATCAACTCCGAGCCTCAACCCAGATTTTCCACACACTCTCAAGATTCTCAATGCAAAATGCTTAGGCATGCACAACCCAAGATATCTACAGTGAACTCACCAGTCCCCATGCCTCCCTAACTAGCCTCCTTGTAACCAGGCTCCCCCTCTCCAATCCATTCTCACCTAAGGTACCAAGGTGTTCTGTCACTCACCCAGTATTCATTCAGCAAACAGCCGCTGAGCATCCACCATGTGTTGGCATTCCAGCAGTGAGTGGGGGAGGTCAGCATCCCCACTGAAACCCTGCCTGGCTCCCACTGCCAGGTCCAAACCACTCACAATGACGTGCAAAGCCCGGCTAGCTGGCAGGCAGTCTGGATGCTCGTCTCTTCCGACCTTAGGGGGCAACTGCCACCCTGTGGCTCAGGGCAAGGGACCCAAAAGTCTGGGTTTGAAACCCAGTTTAACCCTTTGCAGCTAAGTGACGTAGGGTAAATTACACAATCTATCTCGGTTTCTGTATCTGTCCAACAGGCATAATATTAATGCTTACTCCTTAGGACTGCTGTAAGGTTCAATGACACAGATGCCTACAAAGTGTTTAAAAGGACCTGGCGTATAGTTAGCGTCAAGTCCATATCAGCATCGCGTGGTCTCAGGAGAGCAGGTGGGACGCTTGCAGATACACTCGTGGCAGGCAGGTGCCTCGCCAATGGAGGTAGTGTCTATCTGTGAGCCTTCTCTGCTCAGCAGACTCCAGGCCCACCTCTCTAGATGTCAGTCCCACAAGACACCACATAATTGGTGTCTCTTTCCTTACAGAACTTGTCTTCTCCAAGGCTTATCTCCGAAGATGCTTCTTTTAGTTCCCACCTGTAAAATGGGTTTCACAGGAGCTGCCTGCTTGAGATTCGACAGGAGGTATACACTAGGGTTGTCGAGTCCAGGGGCACCCAATTAGAAGCCAGAAAGGGGGGTGAAGTGGGAAGAAGGCCAAGGACTCTGCGACCCACACCAGCCCCAGAAAAGCCGCTCTTGCGGTCCCGTACCTACCACTGTGTCATATAACATGGGGAAAGCTGGTGAGTTAGAGTCTAAAGCCAAGCCCCAAGATCCCAGCTCTGAGTCTCCCACCTCGAGCAAGCAACTTGGCCTTCCTATGTCTCAGTTTCCTCATCTCCTGGGGTGGCCGAAGGATGGACTGAGTTACCACCCTGAAGCACAGGAGCAGAGCCAGGTTCAGTCAATGCCATACATGTGCAGGCTACATAACAATTAGGGCTATTGAC